AGGCTTGTTCAGTCAAACCTTCTGATAACTGCACCCTTACCCACCATCTAACCACCCAGGGTGAGGAATTTCCAAGGAGAACAGCCAAATGAGCCTTGTCTAGCCATGAATACTGAGAGATCATCATAAATTGTTGTTTTAAGCTAGTTTTTAATGCTTTGTTATATACGACAAAAGATAATAAAAAAAATATGAAAAAGTAATATAATGAAAACCCAAGTGTCTATTACCAGATTTGTCAAGATTTAACATTTTGTCATATTTGCTTCAGATTTTAAAAAATGAAATAAAGCATTAAATAAAATTTGTAGTAGCCAATGTTCCTTATTCCATTTCTTTCTTCCTCTCCACAGATACTCATTATCTCTAATTTGGTGTTAACTTTTCCAAGCAGCTTTCAGATCACTACAGATGTACCATTAAACAATGTACATTATCTTTTATGCTTTAAATTTTGTATGAATAATATTTTACTGAAGGTATTATTCCACCACTTGCATTTTATTTACATTATATTCCTGACATATACCATATTAATACATATACCTGATTTCTTTCATTTTAATTGCTTAATAGTACTCAATTTATACCACAATATTATGTATCCATTTCCCTGCTAAAGAACATTTAATTTGTTTCTAATTGTCCACTATTACAAATATACTGTTGTATGTTTGGGAGTTTCTATGGCCTATAAAACAGGCATGAGATGGCTTGATCATAGGGTATGATCATAATTAACTTTAATATTTTGCCAAATGGCTTTCCAAATTGGTGGTATTAGTCCCATATCACTCTTGAAACAAGACAATATAGAAAGAGAACTAATATGTATAATCTAAAAATGCTAAACTCATAGAAACAGAGTAATTAGTGTTTGCCAAGGGTTGGGGGTATGGGAGATGTTGATCAAAGGGTACACATTTTCAATTACAAGGTGCAGAAGTTCTAGGAATCTAAAATATAGCAAGGTGAGTACAGTTGACAATACTGTGTTGTATACTTGAAATTTGCTAAGAGAATAGATCTTAAATGTTCATACTACACATACAAATAAAGGTAACTATATAATGGGATGGATGTGTTAACTAACCTTATTGTGCTAATCATTTCACAATACATACACATATCAAATTTAAAAAAAAGAAAACAGAAAAAAATTCTTCCAAAGTAATTCTCCAGATAAACTGAATAAAATCTTGACCTTTCTATTTTTTGGTCATGTGACTAACTATGAGCAAATTACTTAACATTTTTAAGGTTCAGTTTCTTTACAAAATTTGGAAATGAATATCTAACTACAATTGTGTTTTTCTGAACATTTAAATTATATTAGCTATGAATAAATAAGAATTGGTATTATTATAATAATAAAGATCATCATCATCATCATTACTAGATATAATAATACCAAGTATAGCTTTTATGGCTTAATGAACTTACAAACTCATATGTATATTAGTTTCATTTTTTTTATATAGTTGAAGCTTCAGCACTGTTATAGACTGAATTATGTTTCCCCAACCAAATTCATATTCTTTTTAAAAATATATATATATATATATATTTATTGGTTTCAGAAGGGAAGGGAGAGGGAGAGAGAGAAATATCAATGATGAGAAAGAATCATTGACCAGCTGCCTCCTGCACGCCCCACACTGGAGATTGAGCCCGCAACCCTGGCATGTGCTCTGATGGAGAATCAAACTATGACCTCTTGGTTCATAGGTCGACACTCAACCACTGAGCTGGCCAGGCACCAAATTCATATGCTTAAGTCCTAACCTCCAGTGCCTCAGAATGTGACTCGATTTGGAAATAAGATTTTAAAAAGACAATTGAGTTAAACTGAGATCTTTAGAGTGGTTCTTAATCCAATATGACTATGTCCTCTTAAGAAGAGGAAATTTGGACACAGACATGCATGCATACATTAAAAAAGACCATATAAGGAGACAGTGAGGAGATGACCATCAATAAACTGTGGAGAGAGGCCTCAGAGAACACAACCCTCAAAAAGAAAGAAAGAAAGAAAGAAAGAAAGAAAGAAAGAAAGAAAGAAAGAAAGAAAGAAAGAAAGAAAGAAAGAAAGAAAGAAAATAAAGATAATATACTTATCACAAAGTAGGAACTTGGCAGCAAATTTAACAATATGTTTAATTTGGGGCACTATTGGTAATGCATAAATTGACCATGCTAATCATTACTATCAGGTACTGAAAAAAAAATCTATCACTTGATAATAGTATTTTTCCCCTAGAAACTTGGAAATACACACACATAAATGCATTTACAATCAAAGGAATGTTCCTTCTAATATTTCTGTATAAACTTTATAAACCATTCACACACACACTCACATGAAATCATGGCTCTCTTTGGAATTGACTATAAAGTAGTCTTAAAATTACTCTAAGAAGTCATTCCAAAATTCAAGCTCTAAAAAAATAAAATAATGCTTCTCACATTATTAGCCATTTGAAAATGAGTTTACAAAGTATTTATTAAATTCATTACTTGGATTCCAGGACCTTAAAATATATATTTTTCTATTTATTATAAAACATTGGATTTTCCAATGAAACAAAAGCTGATATTAGAGAGCTAGTATTTCTTATTGTAATTTAAATGAATGAGGGAAATGGGAGACTATTAAGTATAGATGTATCACTTCAATGCCTAACTTAATCATGGAGAATTAGAAAAATACTTAATAACTTAAAAACAATATAATAGTTAAATTTTCAAATTTTATATATAGAAATTGTTCAGACAAGATACAAATGTTGCCCAAATTTTATTCTTTCAAATAATCACATTGAAATAACTAAATCTGCATTAGCTATATAGCAAAAAAATTACTTATTTTGGAAGCAATATCAACTGCTATTATGAAATGTTCATTCAAATAGAATCTGTCAAGGTACCCCAGATTATTATTTTTCTGTAGTAATTTTTAATACAATAGACACAGTTTTGAGACCTGTTAAGAATGGATATCAAAATCTATCACCAGACAATAACAGGCCAGCATACAAGTAAACTTTCAGTAGAAGCTTTGGTTTCATACCAACAAGGAAAGGCATGACTAAAGAGCATCAAATTGATTCTTCTCACTTATCTTAAATACATGGGACAAAGAAATGCATTAGCATAAAAGTAATTGGTAGCTTCTATACTCTTGAAACCAAAATGTTTCAACTAGTGTATATTCACAAACCTCTAGATTTTAAAACAGCGATCACATCATTACCCTTTTCAAATGGTTAAAATTGGTTCAATATTTACCAGAAATAATTAAGGGAAAGTAACAACAGGTTGAAACCTTTCAAATTATTCATTTTATTTGGTCATTTGATAAATTAATAACAAATACCTTCAAAGGAGATCCAAAGTCAACATAATAGTGTATAGAAACTGGCAATAGAAAGTTTATCAAATGAGATAGAGATGATTGTCACACAGTCACACATTAGTCACAAGTGTTTAATCACTTGGTTGAGCGCTCTATTACATGTGTTATCTTTTATATTAAAACATCAGTCCATACTATAGTTGTCCATAACCTTTGAGAAACTGATGAAAGTTATGAACAGTCCCACAGAAATACGAATATTTAGATGCATTCATTTTCAAGGAATTTCATAATTATTGTGGACTCTGGGGGTCCATCCTAAGACTTTAGGAGTAGGATGATCTATATTATTTGCATCCAACCAAATCAGATATAGATCTCTATGGTAAATTTATAATATGTGGCTGACATAATACAATGATGTTTGGGGATAGTGTACTTGGACCCAATTCAAATTCTATTAAACAGAGCAATCAAAGACTTATGTTACCTTTAAAGAAAAAAGTTAAGAGGTATAACTGAACACCTTCATAAGTCTGCACTCTCTTTTCCTCTCTCTCTCTCTCTCTCTCTCTCTCTCTTCTTTCCTCTCTCACACACACACATTCAAATTCTATTAAACAGAGCAATCAAAGACTTATGTTACCTTTAAAGAAAAAAGTTAAGAGGTATAACTGAACACCTTCATAAGTCTGCACTCTCTTTTCCTCTCTCTCTCTCTCTCTCTCTCTCTCTCTCTCTCTCTCTCTCTCACACACACACACACACACACACACATTTTTCTCTTTTCCCTGTATCTCTCCTCTCCCTCTCCCCAGCCATCCTTTCTCCCTCCCTAAAGCAACAAACCTCTGAATTCAGTCAGCTCTATTATGGAAGAAAAGAGTGTCTGTTGAGTGTCACACAAAGCAAAAGATGTAGTGATGCTGTCTCCATCTCTCCCCTTCTTCTGAGGAAAGAATGGGACAGGATAGCCAGGCCCTGTGTCTGCCAGGTGGGGGGCAGGTATAGTAAAGGAATTCGGTATCTTCACAATAACAGCTTGGGAAATGCATCTACTACAGAGTGAGGCTCAAGTCCACTTCCGAATAGTTCAGGAGTCCGCTCAGTGAGTTGCAACCCCTTTTGCCAGGAAGAATCTCAGTTCTTTCACCGCCCCCCAGCACCTAAAAGGGAGTCTCAGAGGTTGCTTTCAGTCTGGACCTCATCACTTCCCTAACCATGGTCTCCCACCCTTCCGCCCAGCAAGCCTTTGTCATCCTGCCCTTTTTCCGCCTCCAGCCTGAAAATGGGTGCAAACAGGTCCCGAACAACCTTAGGAGGGAGGAGCTTCCTTGGTTGGATCCAAATCCCAGCGGTAGAGAGGGGGGCCGAGAGCGAGAAGTGCAAGCTAAGCAGTGCCGTGGGCAGTGATGCGCTTGGGGTGGGGGCGCGTGGGCCTCTCCTCGCGCCGGGAGACCCCGGCCCTGCGCCCCAGAGTTCAAGGTCGGGAAGAACTTGCTCAGCTTTCCGGCGAAAGCGAACCACCACCAAGCCGGGAGCTGCGGGGTGCGGGCATGAAAGGGTGTTGATCGGTGTACGTCGCTCTCCATCC